CTGCTCCGCTTGGACGCCGGTCCAATCTTTTTATTCTATTATTCATATTTGCTCTCCGTACATAAGGTATCCAAACTAATTAAATAAGAGGAAAGAAGATATGTTGCGGATGTATCAAAGTAAAGCAGATATGGATTTGTATTTTTTACAGATTAACAGCAGTGAGGAAATTGGAACGATACTTGTCTCACTTCGAATGCGAATGAGGTGGAAAATTACAAATAAGCTTTTGATAACAAAACACATTTCTCAGTCGAAAGGTGGGGACGGGATATGGAAATTTGGCTAGGGGGATTCACTGTCGTCGGAATCCAGTGGGGCCGAGTTTCCATCGCTCACTCGCAATGTTCGCAACTTTGCTTCCAGCTCAATTTCATCTAAATCCAGCTCGAGATCGCTTTTATTCAAGCAAATACCATCCAATTCTTTGCGAAGCCACAAAAGTAGGTCATCCGGTGCTCGCTGTATCCACAAGCAGTAATCTGTTATGTACAAGTCATTCAGGAGATACCGATAATCACCGCTTGTTGACAGAATCATTCGTATATCGACTAGGCACTGTAGCAATGCTACTTTACCTGTAATTTTTTTTAAGAAAAAAATATCAATTTTTTAATTTTTTCAGAAAATTTGACTATATAAGAAAGGAAGAGGGCAACTACAGAGATATTAGGATAGTCGTAAATGCCTATGCAATGTTTCAAGAAAGAATAAACTTTTTCACCTTTCGACAACTACGCTGGAGATCTTTCCTTAATTGATGGTTTAGCCAGCAGTGGTGAGCGGGAGAAGTGACGCGAGATTCCCAGGACGGAAACGAACGTTGCCCAAGTTATATGGTCAAAGCTACGGCGATTCCATGTGGTGATGCTTCACCTCTACGTGGTGGGGACCGGTAACTTTGTGCTGTTGCGTTGAGGTCTCGGAGACGGGGCCCGTAGGCCGTCTTGAGAACCTTAGTCTCACTCAAGTCAGCCAGGGTGTCGCTGATGGTTTTAAATGATTTTCATAAGAATGTAAGGGCTGTAGAAAGTTAATCTCTGTAGGCTTGGGGAAAAAGTTTTATGATTTTCTTTTTGAAAATTCTATGTACTCCGATAACTCTAGAGAACAGCTTTCTTACAAACTAATTCACGTTTCTCAATCTTGCTCCATATAATTGTCTTAACAGAAAGATTGCAGCAACCTTGTTTACCATGGAAGCCTAAATGGCGAAAGCACGATAGATTACAATGTGAGAGAAGGCGATAAGAGTGAGATACGACGTTTCGGTCCATTAAGTCATAGCCTTAACTCAGTACCGCGACGGGACCTTGTCAGTTTGGCGGTCGCAGTGCCTGATGGAAAAGGAAAAGAGCAGAAAAAATGACGACCTGACAGTGGGATTAGATGGAGTAACAGTAGGGCAGAGAAGGAAGGGGAAAGGAAGAAGGAAAAAAAGATTTTAAAAAAAGGCAGGTTTTTTTAAAAAAAAAGTTAAACCGTTACTTAACAGGCTTAACCTCCTCCTCTTGCTCTAATATTGTCCTCCTTTTCAAACTTTCCAATCAGACAACTTCCTCCTAATTCCAAATTTGCCAAACACTTTTTGCCAATGCCTCTGCCTCTATCGTTCGTGCTTCAAGCTCAGTTCCTGTTTCGAAGTATTTCCATGTTGCCAAGACTACAAATCACAAGGGGTATCCCTTGCGACTGAAGCTTGAAGTACCAATGAAGCCATCTACTAGTAGCTCCAGCTATACTTGAATACTTGAGCAGCTGTATGTCATCGACGTTCGTTATCACTTCCAGCCATAACTAAGACAAGTGGGGCATCTGCTTCTTTCGTAAAGAAAATATATCTCTCTCTATTTTTACAAGTACATATCGATCAACTCACCCTTGCCAAGAAGTAACTTTAAATCTTCGAAAATTCGCAAAGATAATTCATAGTGACGATAAAGCGGATAACATAATGATCTTCGTACTGCACCCAGTGCTGCTTCCTTTGCGGTTCTCCATTTTACGAAAAAACTAAGAGTAGGGCTTAACTTTGCTATGGTCCATCCTGCAATACAAGAATATTAAGGTAAGGCAGAAAGAAATTAGCAAAAACTGAGTTTTTCTCTGTATTTTCATCTAAGTGGCTAAATTAGGGATAAAAAAAAAAAGGTTTAGCTAAGAACGTGCATTAGAAAATCAAACTTGTGGGAAGCTATACATAAATAATAAAGATGAATAACTGGGGCATGGAACTAAGCAAAAACAAATCAACAAAGTGAAAAAATTTCCCAAATTACGGAATTACAAGAAAATTGCGAAAATTTAAAGTTAAAATTGAAATTTATGAATAAAATTTAAAATAAAAAAGTGAACGCTCAGAATCTAAACTAAAATCCCGAGCACTAAATCCAACTTGATCGATGCATCCAAAAATGACAACTTTTTTCAGCAAATCAAATACAAAATTTTCGACCTCAGTTTTTATCCAGGACTTTTTTCTTGTAAA